GAGGACTGGAAGGCAAATGGCCTTTCAGGGGATGTTGAATGCATTTGGGCAGGCGGTGGGGCGCCAAGCCTGGCTTGAGAGCAGAGCCGAGGTGAGAGGCCTGGCTGAGTGCAGGGGTCTAAGTGATGAGTGCTGGATGGGGACAAGTGGAGGGGCTAAGGAGGGGACTGAGTGACGTGGAGAAGAGTGATAGGGGAGTCTGTGGGACCACGGGTAACAATATGTGGGTTACGCAATTGGAAGTTTGTAGGGTGATGGGGATCTGTGCGGTGTTTGATGATGTCTGCAGCGTGAGTGATGGGGCTTCTATGGGATGGGTGAAGGGAGTCTGGGGCGAGTGAGGGGTGGTCTGTAGGGCGAGGGATGCTGGTCCGTGGGATGAATGGATCTGGGGATCCGAGTGAGGAGAGTCTATGGGGACAACAATGGGAGTGTGTGGGGTCAGTGTTGACATTCTGTGGGCTCCATGATGGGTGGCTCTTTCAGATCAATAATATGTCCATGGATAAACAAAAATCTCTGCTCTTGTGGTGTCGACATTTCGATAGAGTGGTTTGATTTTTATTTCCCTCATGACCAGTAAGTTTGAGCACCTTTTCTTATATGGATTCATTACTTGGAGTGCCTCTTTTGTGACGGGCCTGTTCAAGGCTTTTGTTCATTTTTCTGTTGGGCTCTCTGCCTTTTTCTTTTTTAAAAAAAACTAATTTAAACTATCAAAAATAGCCTGTCCAAGACAAAGTAAGTATATAAAAATACTCCTCAAATTCCTTTTTTTATGGGTCTCAATATTTTGCCCTGGGTAGGCTCAAACTTGAGATCCTCCCACTTCAGCCTCCCAAGTATCTGCGACTACAGGCATGCATGACCCCACCTGACTTGATATTCCTCAAACTTCTGTCACAAAATAAGATCCCGTATTTTCTGTGAATGTATAAGATGTTATTAATGTTCATGTAACCAATATACACAGGATTTCAACTGGCTACTCAATTGCTTCACAGAAAAAAATTCCCAAAGTAAAATTAGAGGGCCATGTTAGGCAACCTGAATTCTCTCTGAATAGGCATAGCAACAGAAGTGTCACCTTAGCACCTTGTCCTTTTTGAGCATTTAGGTGGACAAAGGGGCAGAGACTCGGACATGAGATACAAGGCTAAGAGAAATTTAGCACAGGGGCTAAATCAACAGCCAGCCATGCGATCACAGTCTTCCTGTGTGGTGCTGTTGGAGCAGGGCACAGTGCAGGACTTGCGATGGCTGCGTGCACTTTGTGGCCAACAATGCTGAGTCATGCCAGCATCAACCTCTAAGGGAATAATGCCAAAAGGACAAGCCTCCGCCTCTACATATTTGTGGTGTTTATGACTCACTCCCAGGTAAATGCAGGCCTTTATTCAGGCTTGCTGACTTTTCTTGGTAATCATTTAAAATGTCCCAGTGTCATAAGGCAATTAGAGTAGAATTCTTCTTGAGTCACTAAAATTACATAATTACTAATATTAATCACAATTACTATCAAAACTACGAACCGATTTAAATCTAACAGCATCATAATCCCTGGAAATCAGATGCCCAAAAGTAAGGCTGGTGCCTCTTAAACGTCAAACGATCTTCTTTCCCAAAGAATTTGTAAAGAAAAAAAGAAAAAGTCAAACAATCCTTTGGTATTTACAAGAGGCTAAAATAAAAATTGCTAATATCTCAGTCAGACCAAGTCCCAGGGTCTGAGGGCACGCGTTTGTCCTATGGCTACAGCGACAAAAGCACAGCTGATTAAAAAAAAAGCAAACAAGCCATTATTC